TTTTTTTTTTTTTTAAAAATTTATCCCTTTTTTATTGATTTATTTTTTTATTATTTATTATCATCACCTATCCCCATTTATTGGGGAAAAATATTAATTTTTGAGATTTATTAGGGAGGGATTATTATTTATAATCAAATATTAACCGTTTTTTAAACGTTACTTTTCTTTTTTTATTATGGGTATGATATTTTTATATATGTAAATATATATATCATATATAAATAATAGATATATACCCTGATTCATCCCCTGCCCCCCCCCCCCCACCCTTGCTCCGACAGGCAACACACAAGCCCACGCTCACCGCACGTGTCTTCCAAGCGGCGAGTGGCTTCCCTACACCAACTACAGCGAGTGCCTGGATGCTTACGCCAACTACAGCATCACCACACAGCTCAGCACTCAGCCGCCGGAGCAGGACATCACCAGACAGGTAGTCTGCTTCTTCTGCCTCTTTTTCTTCTTCTTGTTCTTCTTGCTCTTGCTCTTCTTCTTCTTCTTGTTCTTGTTCTTGTTCTTGTTCTTGTTCTTGTTCTTCTTCTTCTTCTTCTTCTTCTTCTTTTTCTTCTTCTTCTTCTTTTTCTTCTTCTTCTTCTTCTTCTTCTTCTTCTTCTTCTTCTTCTTCTTCTTCTTGTTGGTCTTTTTCTTGTTCTTGTTCTTCTTGTTTTACACTTTACACGAATTTTCCTCACTTCACCCAGGTGGGAATGGGTACCCGGCTATAGACAGTGAAAGATCTTGTCAGTTTGTTAGTGTTTGAGCCCTTATTCAGCTGCTTGCACTGTATGCTTCCCGGAAAGCTGAGAATGTTTCGGAGTGTACTATGGTCTGCTGGGGTAATAATATAGTGTAAAGCGCATAGAGCCTACTGTTGAGCGTGGATATGCGCAATACAAATGCTATCTATTATTATTATTATTATTATTATTATTATTATTATTATTATTATTATTATTATTTTGTTTTTCTTGTTCTTGTTTTACTTCTTCTTCTTCTTCTTCTTCTTCTTCTTCGAGAGAGAGAGAGAGAGAGGCGAGAGGTCATAAAAATAATTTAACACAAAAGTCTGCACTGAGAGAGAAGAAGAGGAAGAAGGATGAGGATGAGGATGAGGAGGGGAAGAAGAGGAAAAAATAAAAGGAGGAATAGAAAGTTGATGAAATGGAAGAGGAAAATTAGGAGGAAAAAGGGGGATGAGCAAGAGGAAGAGGAAACGAAGGAATGTGTTGTTATTGCTGGTATACCTGTGTTGGTTTTAGAATTTGAGTTACTTAAGATATAATCAAATGTGAGGCAGCGTGGTGGAATCAGACTCTCGTCAAAATAATGAAATCAAAGATTTGCTCAGCAATTTTTATCAAATTTCTGTTTTTTGGCTCTACACCTCTTATGTCCATTTACAAACACATTCATTAGAGGATTTCACCGAAAACGTTGATTAAAGGCACAAAAATAGACATTTACAGTTTCCATGGACTCTCCAACTTTGGAATTTACCAAGCTTTGGCGCTAATTTTACCTCTTAAACCATTTGACCCCCACCTCCTTCAATCCAAAATATCTCCACTTCTATTGAAGTTGGATGGGTATTTTTTTCATTGAAAGCAAGACAAATGAACAAGCTTTAAGGTGATACCAATAACTCAATATGCCCAAAAATTGACGAGAGCCTGATTCCACCTCGCTGCCTCACAAATGAAGAAGTCTTGGTTGAAGCAAATTAAAGACGATGGCTTATGACGATTATTATACGAAAGCGACAGACACATTTCATTGGACACAAAATGCGGAAAAAAGCTTTAGGGAACATTGTAACAACAGGCAAGTTTGATGGAAAGAGAGGCAGAGGTAGACAGAGGGAAAAGATACTGGACAAGTTGACAACATGGCTGGGAACAGTAAGAACAACAGACACCATTGCCGCTACGCAAGATAGAATGAAGTGAAGGTCCATGATCGCCCACGCCAGTCGGCAAGGCACCGGATGATGATGATGATGATGATGATGATGATGATGATGATGATCATGATCATGATGATATAATCAAACCATTGAGGCTCCCACAAAGCTATAGTTCTACACCGATTGCAACAAACAAGCAACTATACTACACGAACGTTTTGGAGTGAGCTTCACGTGAGGTCAGTCTGCTCGTCTTCAACGAAAAGATCTCACATACACATGACATGTTACGTGAAACAAATAAACAAGTGCCTACGCACACTCCCACGCACGCACGCACACACACACACACAC